TAAATTGCATATATCATTCTTGCAGTGTCTCTTTGTACGTCGTAAAAGATGTCTAAACAAAAATGAGCTGATGATTTCTATGTAAGACTGCTCTCACTTATGCAAGGAGTAGTATCTAGCCATACACAGGGCAATCCTAGGCTATTTCTACACTAGTCAAGTCATACACCCCAAAGCAAATGGCAGAGAGTAGCTGACAAGTTAAGGGAAGAACCTGCTCCGAGCTGGCTTCTCTAGAAGTGACCTGGTGACACTCACATCGCAATAATGCCAAACTTAATATGTATCCAAAGCGCCTCTAAGCCTGCTTGGTGGTAAGACTAATGGTAGGCACACATTCAGATTTCTGGTATTGGTTTGGGAGGCTACTTCTGCCCCTGCCCTTGTCAGTCTACTCATGGTCAAGAGAAGAATTTAGACTTGGGATGCCAGCATTCACTGGTGGGGTCAGATAGGGCCACATATTTGCGATGAGCACCAGTAAGTACCCATCTGCCATGCAACACCAGCACACCACCTTCAGAGAGCTCACACTGATGTTGAAATACACCATGTTCCCCTTCTCCTTCACCTCTAATTGGTTGGTAAGGTTTGGGATTGGCAAGCTCACTGCTTGAGCACTTGTGTGAGTGCATCTGTGTGTGTGAGGAATGGGATTTCTTGGCACGGGCAATTGGAGTCAGTCTCTCTTCCTGTACCTCTGACTTTGACCCTAAATCTATTGATTTAAATATCTGAGGAACTGGGTACGTTGGTCCCAGAGGCTGTGTATAGCCATCTGATGAAATTTTTATTTTGTGTTTTGTGTAACCTGGCAGCCCTGAAATGTTTGAATTAAAAGTGGAACTGCTTAATACCATGCCAACAGCCCACAGCAGTGAGCTGCCAGGCTGTTGCCAAACAGGGTGAAAGCACCCCCCATTCCTGCACCTGCTCCAAACATACGGAGACCAAAGTGACAGCGAGAAAATCACATTAACACACAGCTTTTCTCTGCATAAACACATCTAGGAGCTAGTCACTCACAGTTTTGGAGGGTGAATCCTTTTCTGTCTTTAGTACATCGGAAAGAGAAGACATTGTGGGATAATACTTTTGGTGAAGTGGATTTGCTTAAAAAGCTGTTACTGCATTGCAGCCGTTAATGATTAAGAGTGGTAAGTATAAACTATTGGAGCCATTACAAATCAGTGATGTATTTTGTGCAAGGAGTCATCAGTTAAGTTTCCATTTATCTTCAAAGAAAGGGATGGCCTGTATCACTGCAGAGTTTAAACTGGAGATCAGCAATCACACAGGCTCTGTGGAGCACTGAGTTTTGTCTACTGGCAAATGACTGAATTGGGGTCTGGCATCCTGGTTTCTTCCTAAACTGGCCGGGAATCACTTCATTTTCCTGGTACAAGGTAGCAGTACTGCAATTCTCCCTCTGGGTCTGGGCACAAGGCTTGACCCCAGCCCGCTTGCAGCAGCCAGGAGAAGCAAAGGTGCTGTGGTCTTCTGGTGGAATGGGCTCTGCTGTCCATCCTGGGAGGCACCTTCAGCACCCAAAGCCTCACCGGGCAGTGCTACTGCCTGTAATCTGAAGGTGATTAGCAATGAGATTTTGTGGTATCTAATAGGGTCATTCAGAAAACCCAGGAAGACTTTTGAAAGAAAGGCTGTGGAATAACCCTTCTCCAGCTTTAAAGAGATGCTTGGACATTTTAAACTGTTTTTTATCTGTTACTCCACCAAGTGTTCAGTGATATTAATACTTGAATTCCTGCCAAATGTGTGGTGTTTTTGAAGCTCAAGGGTAGATATCAGGTAGAGCTGAAACAGTTACAGGTCAGATATTTTTGTAATAATTGTGAAGACCAGAACTAGGACTAGGACCCTAATTAACAAGCTTAGCAGAGCTGTTATGCTTGGAATAGGTTCATCTTCAACAGAGAAAAAGCAGATCCCAAGCAAAACTACAGTCTGGGCAGAGAATGGATAGAGAGCAACCCTGAGGAGAAGGACTTGGGGGTATTGATTGCCGAGAAGCTCAACATGAGCCGGCAGTGTGCGCTTGCAGCCCAGAAAGCCAATGGTGTACTGGGCTGCATCAAAAGAGGCATGACCAGCAGGTCGAGGGAGGTGATCCTGCCCCTCTACTCCACTCTGTGCGACCCCACCTGGAGTACTGCGTCCAGCTCTGGGGGCCCCAGTACAGGAGCGACATGGAGCTGTTGGAGCGAGTCCAGAGAAGGGCCACGAAGATGATCAGAGGGCTGGAGAACCTCTCCTGTGAGGACAGGCTGAGAGAGTTGGGGTTGTTCAGCCTGGAGAAAAGATCTAATCGCGGCCTTCCAATACCTGAAGGCGGCCTACAAGAAGGCTGGAGAGGGACTGTTTACAAGGGCATGGAGTGACAGGACAAGGGGTAATGGCTTTAAACTAAAAGAGGATAAATTTAGATTTAGATATTAGGAAGAAATTCTTTACTGTGAGGGTGGTGAGGCACTGGAACAGGTTGCCCAGAGAGGTTATGGATGCCCCCTCCCTGGCAGTGTTCAAGGCCAGGCTGGATGGGGCTTTGGGCAACCTGGTCTAGTGGAGGTTTGGAACTAAATGGTCTTTGAAGGTCCCTTCCAACCCAAACCATTCTATAATTCTATGATTCTGTAAATAGTTACAGGTAAGTCAACACGTGCTTTCATACAGTGAACATAGAATGACTTTTGCTTACAAAGAAAACAACTGAAATAAAATATTTATTGAAACATAACAGAATAGTTGTGTGTGGGATTTTTAATATTTGAACACACGCCAACAAATGGGAATTGGATTTTATCAAGCATTCTTGTGTCACAAAACAAAGCTCTTTAGAAGCACAAGTTACATTTTCACATCCCTTTAAAAGAAATCTCATGCCTGTGTAAACTAGCTCACATCATTTCCAAGCAAATCCCTTGCCTCTGGTTTATCATCAGCAAGTCTTTAAAGTTGAAAATTAAAAAAAAAAAAAAAACCAAAACAACAAAACACCACCAAATAAAACCAAATGAAACCAGAGGTCTGTAACTTAAAACACAGTTATGCCTGTTCTCTTAATCTGGTTGGCTGGTAACATTTATCACATATGGTAGATTTTTTCCTTTCTTATGCTTCCAGAGCAAGGATATAATTTCATAAAATTATTTCCAAGGATCTGTAATAACAAAGAGGATTTGCATTTTAGTAATGTTAGTGCAAATCGGGAGTCATTCTCTTGGAACTGATGGAACACTATAGAGATAAGGAAAAGAACTGGGTTATAATTTCTAGGGAGCACTTCACTTGAGTTTCCGTGAACATGTCTTTTCTCATTTTCCTCATGTTATATTTGATACATTATAGCAGTCAGTGACAGACTTAACATTGTCCAGATTTTTGTCTCATAAACAAAACTTAATAAAAAAACCAATCTGAAGCAAATCTGAAGGCTAAGATTTATGTCCTATTATGTGATGTAGAGTGAGTGCATGTTGCTGACCTTGGCCTTTCTATTAACTTCCACACAGAAGATTGCTTGCAACAAAGCAAAGTAAAAGTCCTATGGGCTGATGCAATTATCCCTCATCCGCAGTTCTTTAGCTGTGGTGGGGACAGTGTGGGAGGCAGGTCCAATAAAAGCACTGCTGGCAAGAAACTCTATTAAAGGATTGACCATTTAGATTACAAGCCCATATATATAAACATACACACATATTGCCTCTTAATGTCTCTGCCATTCATGGCAATGCATCCAAACCAGCTGTGCTGCCAGCTGTGCTTTCAAAAGTAGCTGCCCTTTGATGCTATGACTTCCTGCAGCACAGAACAGCCCAGTTGAAGCCACAAAGGGAACAATTCCCTTCATTCCCTACAAAACAGTCTGCCATTAACTTCTCCAGGTTCCTCTCATTTACTACAAAATGGAGACAGAAGGGTGACTGGTTTTTACATCTGCTTGTTCAGATTTGGAGACTTAAATTTTCTTGTAACTGTTCACATTTCAAACTATGATATTTTTTGCAATTTAGCCTTACGTGCTACCTCTGCTAGGAACATCAAAGTTCTTTGCTGCTTTCTTATGAATCTTTTAAGTTTCGGGAACAGTACCATGCATATTTCTTTAGGTCTACTGTTCAAAAACCTTCAGACCATAGATCAGGTAGGAAAGGCTGTTAGACTTATCTTTTGATACCTGTTCTGTTTTTCTTTATAGTTTTATTAATACAGCCATTTTCTTTTTAAATAGCAATGAGCACTTATCAGTGGGTATTTATTACACCATTTACAGAGATTGCCAAGTTCATTTCATTAAAGAAATGCCAAACTTAAAAGAATATCTTTGGGCAATAGTTTATACGGAGTATCACATGACTTTTTTTTTTTTTTTAAATTCGCCCACAATAAAACAACACAAAATTAAGCATATAAATCTAAGCTAGATCACTGGAAACAAGATTGAAATGGGGGATGAAGGATAAGTTTACTGCAGTGGTATAGCCCAGCGTATCAGGAAGGAAAATGAAATGCAATCTGAGTGTTATATAGTTTCCAGTCATATGGAGAACATATTATTTACAGGTAAATGAAGCCCGAAAGAAAGAGAGCTTCCTTTGACACCATGTGCTCATTCCTCACATTGTTTTTATTTAGTTAAAAGTATAGAACTAAAATATTGGAACATGTATATTCTGTATATTCTGAAACCTTTACTATAAACTTTCTCACTTGCAACAAAATGCACCCAATATTTCATAATGATGAATACAGTCATGGCTCTGTTTCTAGTATCTCTGTATCTTGGGCAAATAAATCAGTTTACAACATGTCTGAGTAATAATTAACATATACAGAGTCTTCCTACAAAACTGTAACCTGCAGCTTTCTGTTCAGATTTCTTTCTGAATACTAACTGAAGCTATTACATCTACAGTACATGGACATTTACCGATAAAGTGAAGCAGAGAGGGCCTTAAAAAAAGGCTGCTAGAGGCAGAAGAATGTGGCTCAAAAGTCAGATTTTGCTTTTATATTGCATTGCAAGTGAAGTTTGGATGGCAAAGCAACTTGACTCTAGAAGAAATTTCCCCCAAGGACTTTACTCTGTTGAAGACGGCAGTTCTGCAAAGTGGAACAGGCTAAAAAGGAGTCTGTATCAGGGAAGGTCCTGCAGGGTGCGAGGCTGCTGCACAGGAAGAAACGATGACTGCAGCTTTAACATCGTCTCCAGAGCAGCTATATGTTACTGTGACCAGTTCTGTGCCTCGGGTTCTCCTGGTCCTGTAGACTGTTGTGCTGACTACTGGGAAGTCTGTGACAACCCTGTTGAACCCACCAGGTCAGACGAGCCTTGGCCACCTCCAGCATCGGGTAGGTATAGAGAAAATGCTCAGTTGGCATTAGTGCATCACGATAAAAATATACATGGAAGTAAAATTTCTGATTAATCTTTGGAGTGTATACATCCTAAAATTGTGATTAAAGACATAGTGGACAAAGACACTGAGTATGAAACTGGAGTAAGAATTATGCTTGCTGTTATTTTTTTGTCTCTAGGTACATATTTTTAGAATTGGCTAGATCATATTTCTGTTGGACAGAACCTCTGTTTTTCCTGAAACTTCTCAGAGATAATCTCATTGGGTCAAAATTAGTGTAATCTCATCAATTTCAATAGAGTTTCACAGATTAACATGAGATGAACAGCAAGTTCTAAATTTTTGAATCCATTAGTACAAATAAATCATCAAGAAAACTGAGGGTTATCCTGAATGATACTATTCTGGGGTATTCTGCAAGAGTTTTGATGCAGCGTAGCTTTCCTGTGGGACACCATTTCTCACAACAGCTCAGGTGCAGCAGTAGGTGAAGGGATGTGGTTAGAACAAGGATTTCTGGCATATTTTAGTTTCTTACTAGTCAGTTTGTAGTAGAAGTTCCTCTGGGACTACTCTATACTCAGTCTATTTTTTTTAGAACTAGAGATTGTAAAAAAAAAATCTACAAACAGCTGGTCCTTCCTTGGTTCCTGCATGGGCCAAATCTCTGCTGGTAAGAAAAGTTTACAATTCTGGCTTTTAAGACTATGTAGCTTCTTACTATTGGTAGACCAAATCTGTCTGAAAATGTGGAGACTGAACCAAACTGTCAAAAGCCTAAAATCAACAAAAAAATACCACCACAACATTTAAAATTAACTGTTTCTTTGCAATAACCCTGCTGCTTGCATTCCAGCACTCAGACCTCAAGCTCTTAAGGAGGCTGTGCTCTTAAACCAGGCGTGCAGCCAAAATCTGATAAGTTGGAGTGACAGAAATGCTGTAAAACAAATTTGATCTTCCAAAGTGTTTCCAATCATCTAAAAGAATGTTCCCTGATTTATGTAAATAAAGACATTTGTTTCGCATTTATTTGTTGCAGCGGTGCATAGTATTTCCAACAGATCAGGGGTTTGTTGTCGTAAGCTCTACATAAACATTTAGCAGCGTTTCTTGCTCCAGAGCTGACACCCTGCGAGTCTAGTTTGGCAAACCGTTTGATGAAAATGAATCACTACAAAACCTGCAGCAGTTTGCCATGTGGGCCCTGCCGTAGGTCTACCTCTAAAAGATAAAAGTGTAACAGAAGGTTTAGATAAGGGAATAGGTGAGGGGTAATATTTTTACTGCCTCCCTTAATCCAATTTTTGTGTTTGCATTCACTCTTTTGTAACTCCTGGACTGTACGTGCCTGCCAGAGGTAGCAGTTATATTTACTCTATTCAAGCACCTTTGTTTGTCCTATAGGTGAGCTTATACCTTTTTTTATTATTTCTCATCTCAAAATAACCTCCTGTTTTTCTGATCCTTGAAGTGCTTCCCTGATAAAAAGTCTGCAGCTTTTAAAATGTATTTATTGGATTTATTTAAAGGGTAAAAGAAGAATAATAAATGAGCCAAAATATAGCGGGGGGGGGGGCCACGTCAAAAAGAATTTTCTAGAACAGAAATGTCTGAGAAACAGGGAAGAGAGAATTAAATTGGAAGGAAAAAATGTAGAAACAAAAAGGACTGAATGCTCGAAGATTAAGTAAATTATGAAGCATTTATAGAAATGACATAAGTATATTAGCTGACTTTTAGTAACCAAGACTACACTTCAGCCTTTGGCTAAGAACTATTTAAGCACTAGAAGACCGCATACGCCAAAGTACTTTTCACCTGGAAGATTTTGATCTTTAGGTTGCCTGTGGTTTTACTCTCAGTGATTTCTGAGTCATATTTCTTTAAATAAACCAATAAACTGAAATGCTTTACATGGGGTGGAATGGACAGCAATGAAACTGCTCAGCGCTTTATTTCTGGGTCCCCATCTATTCACTGACTCGGTGCACGGCAGTAGTAAGCTACGCTGTGACTTCTCCATGAGTGTGCACCACACTGAGGGCCAGCCTTGATTCAAATATGTGGAACTGCTTTAACTTTGTCTTTATGAACTCAGCATTCCATTCAGCATGTTTTGATGGTTTTCCTGTGTAGTTTCAGAACAGAATTAGATATTAGGAAAAACTTCTTCACGGAAAAAAGGAGTGGTCAGGCATTGGAACAGGCTGCCCAGAGGGGTGGTGGAGTCACCATCCCTGGAGGTGTTCAAAAAATGTGTAGACGTGGCACTTCGGGACATGATTTGTAGACATGGTGGTGTTGGGTCGACGGTTGGACTTTTCCAACCTTAAAGATTCTATGATGCTATTAATAGGCTGTGCACATTAGATACCAAATAGAAGTTCTGGATTTTAAAATTTTTATTGTTTTAATTTTTGTTATTAGACGAACTGTTAGAGTTTTATTTATTGATTATAGTTATTTATTTTATCTTTTTGTTTCAATTATTTTGACCATACAAAAAACCCTGTCAGAGTAAACACACTGGATCTCATCCTGGTGGGGGTATAAAAGTGACATCCAGAGATTTTGCTAATTGCTTTTACACTACACAGTCAGGATCTGGCCTACAAGTGAGTAAACCTGCAGACAGTTCACTGACAAAAGTAATTACATCAATACTGGCAGCAAATTAAGTACAGGCTATAAGAATATAGGAATGCTGGACTGGGAGGAAAATCCTGGTTTATCAAATCCTCTTCCTTCTAATCATGATTTTCACATCATATAATCCCATTCATAAAGTCATCAGGCTGCATCTTCAAATAAATAAATCTTCAAATAAATTAATTTCCCACTGAATATATTAATATTCTGCCAGACAATCTCACTGTGTTCGTATGCAAACAGGATCTTTTAGCTTCGAGATATCTGCTCTCTGCTGCTAATGCCTTGGACACATTTACAGGCAGCACTCCTGGCCTTCTAAGTTTTAATTTGGCTAGACTAAAGAAACTGTGTTTTCAATTTTGGATTCCCTAAGCATACATTATTAGAAAGCTTCTATACGTGTCCAGGCTTGCATTTTTTCTTGGGCATGAGTGGTGATACCTGCCAGCAGAGTTCCAGTGAGGCTCCATCGTGCCACTCAGACACTGCATCAGTACTTCCTTCCCTCGATCTATTTGAAATATCTTGCTCGATGCCTCCTTCCAGCTACTGTCTGATGCTGACTTTGTGGCAGACTGTGACAAACCATGACACTTAAGTAATTTGCCTTGGGTATTCTCTGAAAAATCATAGACTCACAGAATATTTTGGGTTGGAAGGGACCTTTAAAGGTCATCTAGTCCAACCACCCCTGCAATGAGCAGGGACATCTTAAACTACATCAGGTTGCTCAGAGCCCCATCCAACCTAACCTTGAATGTTCCAGGGATGAGGCATCTACCACCTCTCCGGGCAACCTATTCCCGTGTTTCACCACCCTCATTGTAAAAAATTTCTTATAATCCACCTTTAAGTACTGAAAGGCCGCAATAAGGTCTCATTGAGGCCTTTTCTTCTCCAGGCTGAACGACCCCAACTCTCTCAGCCTGTCTTCATAGGAGAGGAGCTCCAGCCGTCTGAACATCTTTGTGACCCTCCTCTGGACTCACTCCAATAGCTCCATGTCTTTCTTGTAGTGGTGACCCCAAAACTTGACGTAGTACTCCAGGTGGGGTCTCACAGGAGTGGAGCAGAGGAGCAAAATCATCTCCCTCGACCTGCTGGTCACACTTCTCTTGATGCAGCCCAGGACATGGCTGGCTTTCTGGACTGCAAATGCACACTGCCAGCTCATGTTGAGCTTCTCACCCACCAACACCCCCAAGTCCTTCTCCTCAGGGTTGCTCTCAATCCATTCTCCACCCAGCCTGTAGTTGTGCTGGGGATTGCTCCAACCCACGTGCAGGACCTTGCACTTGGCCTTGTTGAACTTCATGCGGTTCGCACGGGCCCACCTCTCCAGCCTGTCGAGGTCCATGTCATTGATAAAGGTATTAAACAGTACTGGAAAAATGCCTCCCATCCTAGCAGAAGCCGAATTAGAGCAGATGTTTTGGGCCTCAGACTGCTTGTGTTGAATATATCTCACCTATGCCTGCACTAGTTAACATAGCCTGCTGTATGACCAACAGGGGAAAACAGGCACTTACAATTAATTCATCAGCTCTAGTCTGTTTCTGTACTTCAGTAGGAAATTAGTTATAGCTTAGAAGTGCATATTTTTCTTCTGCTACTAAAGGAGGCCTAGGCCACTGAGGCATAATAATGGATATGTCTGGGTAGACAAACTCCATCCCTGGCCGTGAGAGAAGGGATGGCCTTCCTCACACTTGTGTTTTAGGGAAAAAAAGATGATATAACACAAATGCAAGTCAATACTATATTAATATGAAATACGGTTTAATCTTCTTGAAAATGGAGGAGGAAGGTAAACTTGGGGGTTCCTGGCTCGAAACCCTTTCAGTGAGGGAAGAAACATGATCTCTACCTGTAGGCTCACTGGCGGAGGAAGCATGAGAAAAGGCTGGAAAACAAAGACCCATGTAATAAATGTACAATGTTTGTTATTGGCTTGATCCAAAGCCCTGCGTAGGTGTTCTAGATCTTCCTTTTACTGAAGTTGTGACAATCAAGTGCACTGAAGAGTCAGTTCATGTGGAAGATCTTAAAACACACACAAAGTCTTTTCTCAGTGAAGTGGTATCAAAGAAAAAATTTAGGAGGCACATATTTGTTCGGAAAAAATCATCACTCAGTTAAGTTTTTATACTGGGTTTTGAAGAGTATATGAAACATGCATTTGCATTGAAACCTAATTGATCTGTCTGTTTTTCAAAGAGGAATTAAACTATTTAGCAAGGAAAAAGAAGGCATTACAATAGTTTTGGAATAAGTATTAATTTTCTATATTCTATAACTAGAAAAAAATTTTCTATTTTAATAGCCTATTACCAAACTATTCTTATTAGAAACATATTCTTTTTACATTTACTACTGGAAAATAACTTTATTTGAAAATTATTTTTATTTACATGTAAGACAATAATTTTTAGGGTGTGTTTTGAATCTGTTGCTGACTTTGTTTGCTGTGAATGATAATGTACCTGGTAAAAAATTAAAACATACCAAACTGCCTTCATTACTTGGACAAACTGGAAATAGTTGTTGCTGACTTTCAACTAAATGTATGTATACCACATAGAACCAATTAATTGAATAGTAGCAAGAGTTTAGAGTTAATTCACTTCAAAATGATTATTTTTTTCACATATCTATGTGTTATGTTGGCAGGTTGTTATAAAGATGGCCGGTATTACGGAGAAGGAACAATAATTAAAGACAACTGCAATTCCTGGTAATGTTTCAGACAACAGCAAATTTAATTTTACTTAACATATGACATGAAACAGGAATTAAGGTAGTGAGCTTCCTTAAATCCATATTAAACATATAAACAAATAAAAATGGCTGGAAGAGTACTGCTGTATTAAGGTATTATAGAACAAGACTACAGCCAGCTTAGAAGAATGACATGAGGTCAACAGGTTTTCTAATCGACACATGAAAATGAGAGTATTAAAATCCACTCCTCCTCACTGGCCTAATTCTGTTCCTGCTCAGTCAATCTGCCAACTCTGACCTGAATGGAGATGGTTTCAGCCTAGACCTGGGCATTATCATAGAATCATAGAATGGTTTGGGTTGGAAGGGACCCCAAAGATCATCTAGTTCTAACCCCCCTGCCATGGACAGGGACACCCTCCACTACACGTTGCCCAAAGCCCCATCCAACCTGGCCTTGAACACTTCCAGGGATGGGGCATCCACAACCTCTCTGGGCAACTTGTGCCAGTGTCTCACCACCCTCACAGTAAAGAATTTCTTCCTAATAGCTAATCTAAATCGACCCTCCTTCATCTTAAAGCCATTACCCCTTTTCCTATCACTACCTGCCCTTGTAAACAGTCCCTCTCCAGATTTCTTGTAGTCCCCCTTCAGGTACTGGAAGGCTGCTATTCGGTCTCCCTGGAGCCTTCTTTTCCCCAGGCTGAACAATGCCAACTCTCTCAGCCTGTCCTCATAGGAGAGGTGCTCCAGCCCTCTGATCAGCTTCGTGGCCCTCCTCTGGACTCGCTCCAACAGCTCCATGTCTCTCCTGTACTGGGGCCCCCAGAGCTGGATGCAGTACTCCAGGTGGGGTCTCACAGGAGTGGAGCAGAGGAGCAAAATCATCTCCCTTGACCTGCTGGTCACACTTCTTTTGATGCAGCCCAGGGCATGGTTGTCTTTCTGGGCTGCAAGCCTATATTGCCAGCTCATGTTGAGCTTCTCACCCACCAACACCCCCAAGTCCTTCTCCTCAGGGTTGCTCTCAATCCATTCTCCACCCAGCCTGCAGTTGTGCTGGGGATTGCTCCAACTCACATGCAGGACCTTGCCCTTGGCCTTGTTGAACTTCATGTGGTTCGCATGGGCCCACCTCTCCAGCCTGTTGAGGTCCCTCTGGATGCCATCCCTTCACTCCAGCATGTCAACCATACACACAGCTTGGTGTCATCAGCAAACTTGCTGAGGATGCACTTGATCACACTGTCCCTGTTGCTGACAAAGATGTTAAAAACAGTGCCGGTCCCAGTACCAACCCTTGAGGAACACCACTCGTCACCGTTCTCCACTTGGATATCAAGCTGTTGACCGCAACTCTTTGAGCGCAACCATCCAGCCAATTCCTTATCCACCAAGTGGTCGATTCACCAAATCCATGTCTCTCCAATTTAGAGACAAGGATGTTGTGCGGGACAGTGTTAAATGCTTTGTACAAATTCAGGTAGATGACATCAGGTGCACTTCCCTTATTCACCAACGCTGTAACCCTGTTATAGAAGGCCACCAAATTTATCAGGCACAATTTGCTCTTAGTGAAGCCATGTTGGCTGTCACCAATCACCTCCTTTATGTCCCATGTGCCTGATCATAGTTTCCAGGAGAATCTGCTCTATGATCTTCCCAGGCATAGGGGTGAGACTGACTGGCTTGTAGCTCCCCAGATCTTCCTTCCCTACCATTGACCTGGTCATTAAAGTTCACAGGATTATTTTATAATGTCTTCCTCTGTTTCTTTTGCATGAGTGATGAGACCTTACATTATTTTATAAGAGAAGAATATATATATATGCATATTTTTGTAGGAAAGGGATAAACTGTTTGAGCATCCCTTTCTCTGCCTTGGCACAGGAGGAGTTGGAGCAGGCAGGGGAGCTCTGCTGCCAGCCCTGGCAGTCGGCTGCCTGAGCCACCTCCCTGCTTTGCCTCTCCAAAAACCAGCCCTGCACCTCCAGCCCCAGGCCAGTCCAGGCAGCTCTAGCAGCACCAAAACGGGGCTGGGGCTCCCATTGCCCTGACTTTCACTTATGATCCTTGGACCAAGGTGACTATGGCCACGTGATTCCTTTCTGGGTTTCCAGAGTGAAATTTTCACAAAACGTCTAATTTACTTTAGATGCAGGACATTGCATATTTTTTTTTCCCCTGGTTTGGTCTTATGAAGATGGAAGCAAAATTTTTAAATTCAACCTTTACCACAAGTCGTAAACCTTCCCACCTTGCTCCATTTAGGATTCATTAGGTAGTTAAGTAGCAAGAAGTTGCATTGTTTTCATAAGTACTATCTGACATTTATATCATTTACGCTTTTTTTCTCCATCTTCCTTCTGCTGTTAAAGTGCATATGTTTCCTTTGACAATTCATTTTCTTCTGCTCAGCGACATTCTTACCCTTTCAGCAAATGCTTCCGACGTCTCTGGAAGTGTTCAAAAGAAGTATGCCTTGTTCGCCAAGACTTAATTCAGCAGATCAATTCTGGAGATTATGGGTGAGAAGACTTTTATTTTAAGGTTTTGTTGTAAACCACTGTATTGCTCATTGTAGGTATGTGCAAATTACAAGTTATGCAGTTCTCCCTCTCCCTTCCTTCCTCAACTACCTCACAGCAATTTGAGAGTAAATGTACATCTGTGAAACTTTCCTAAATGTCTGGCAGATTATAGACTTTTAAATTGAAAGATACTGAAAGTCTTTTGCTGGTAAGAGTTGACATTGTAATCATCTATCTAAAACATTCTCTCAAATTTAGTACATTTTTTTTCTCACAATATGCTATTTAGATCATCTTCCCTTATTCTTCACTGTATTTATTGGGATAGATATTTAAAGTAATTTTTTCTCCTCCCTCAAGCGCATGTTCCAGATAACAGGACTCTAAGTAGTGTTGGAAGAAGAGAGGATGGGCCACATGGGGACCAAGATATCAGAACTTTGTGGGGCTTGGTGTTTTTCTTGCTACCAGTTCTTGTTCCCCGCAGGTAGTGCCGGGGGATTAGGGACACCCCAGTACCAGAGCGGTGCCTTGGGAGGCTGCTGGCCATTTACAGGTAGAGATACAGGGGTTGCCTCCCTGGGAGCTGAGGTGTTAAATTCACCAATGAAGCTTGCCCAGATTTGAAACTGTGACTCAGTGTGAAACATTTTGTACCTTGAGGGAGACATTCAAACAACTGAGGTAGGATAGACAATTAAGTTAGGCACCTGGAACCCTTCACCTCTCTTTTGTCAGTGGTAAGTGGTAAGTTTGCCACAGGGTGGTTAAGCCCACCTGAGATATGAGTCAACTTCTGCAAGTGCTTGCACTCTTCACTGACTACAGGCAGACCAAGAGCTTCTCATTTGGGCAGCACGAATCCCACCTCCTGGTTCCTCATACACAAGCAAGAAAGAAATGGGTAAAGAGAATGCTCTCCTGTGTGGCTCAGCTCTTTTCCAGTAATAAATACAATTTCAGTGTGTTCCAAATATGTATGGCTGCAAGGTATTTTTTTTTTCTGTTGCGCATACAGTTTGCAGGGCTAATGCTACAATCTGAATCTAGTCTACCTGAGAGTAGGGAGGGAATATTTAAAAAGCCATGGAGAGCCCTTTCTCTCATCCTGGTTATTGCTGTAGAACTCAGGCAGAAGGTGTCACCTGGGCTTTCTACTGGGATCAATAGTGTCTCACTGCTAGTGCACCAGAGCTCGAAGGCAACATAACCCCCTACACGAAGCTGTTAATTCTCTGTGGGCAGCTGGTCTGAAGCATAATGTGAGCATAACTTCAAGACCATAGTAATTGTTATGACTGAGCATCTTGTTTTCCAGTACTTCTCTGAAGCATTGCGTGTTCGTCTCCTGCAGGCTGACACAATGCTGACCTCAAATCACTTTTCATATACTGCTGTGTTGCTCCATCCTATGCTCATTTGCAGAGGAAGAACCCATACTAAATATTTTCTCATGTATATTGAATGCAAGGTTTTGAAATGTAATTTGAAAGATTTATTTCTGGATGTTATTGTTAGTGGTGCTCTTCTTATAAAAGAGCAAGGTATTAATGTGAACGGTATCTCTAACTTGGGTTTTGTTTATTTTTTTCTGTCTGTGAGGAAGATGGAAAGCTGACAACTACAGCCAGTTCTGGGGAATGACAGTGGAAGAAGGTTTCAAAAAGCGCCTGGGCACATTGCCTCCATCTCATTCCTTGCTGAATATGGCAGAAGATCCAGTAAGTGTCATGTATGATTGTTAATATTTTTCATAACTTTACCACATGGAAAAATAAACGTGGACAACTAAAATATTATGATTCAAGGATTTAACACTAAACACTTCCATGTTGCATATGAATCTGCCAGAATAGTTCTCCAAGCCATAGACCGTGTGGTCCTGCTGGTGGAAATCAAACAAGGAGGAGCAAAAGCAAATGTTATTGGGAAGATGTGCACTAAAATTAACTTAGTGCTGCATCATAGATCACTGGTGTTTGAAATCTTTGCTTCTTTAGGATATTTCCATACTATCTTCTTCATTTTCTAATCATTGCACACATAGCTGTACCCTTAAATAAAAATAAATCTGGACATAGATCATTAAGGCTAATGGCTTAGACTAAACAGTAATCTTTAAAAGAAAGTCTGAAAGCCGATATGATAAACCAATGTAAAGATGCATCAGGAGGCTGGGGTTTTGACTAAATGGAAATAAAAATAATGGAAAGCATGGGAAAATGAGATCATTCTCTACTACCAGCTTTCTAAACCTCTTAGCCATGGCCATTTCCATGGCAGCTAAATTAAATTTCCTATCACATATTTATGCTCAAATTAGTTCTGCACCAAAGCAAATATACTTTATGTATGTAGGTTATGCAATTAAAGAAGAAATGCATAGTTATTCCAGAGTAGATTTACCAACGCTTTGGATCAGTTACTTAGCTTCTTTCTTAGAAGATTCAAAATAATGAAAATCATAGACTGAAAAAACTACCTAGTTCACCATAATGGAATTAGAAAAATTGCAAGAATTAGTAGACAGATCCACTGTTTGTAAATGACATTAAATACAACAGCTTTTAATCTTTGGCTTCTATGTACATCAGGCAAGAGATGCCATTTGATTATCTATTTAAAGTCAATTGTTGATGCTGCTTGTATATGTGTATGGTGGAAGGGTTTCCACATCATGGAAGGCCTTGTGGGGGCAGTAGTGCAGCGCTACCACTTGGCAGGGAATGTGGGGGAGAGGGAGAGGACTATGTGATACTGCAACAATTTTAGCAGTGCTAACCTTTTTGCTTGATGCAGACTGGTTCTTTGTTCCACACAAAGTCAGCTCCCTGCACCAGCGTGGTGAGGCATTGGGTAGTGGCTCAGATTGGACAGCTTGCTCAAAATTACACTATGGGGAATTGTCAGAGTGAGAAATTGGCAGAAATTAAGCTTTGGAGTCATGCTTTGTGTGATTTGCTAGACTTAGACTACTCTGCAGCCAAAGAAGTATCCATTTCAGTTGAAGACAGCAAACCAAAATAAAAAAATGACATAAAAGATTTTAATGCAATATTTAGTGGGTATATCTGCCACAAATTACCAGTGAATTGCATTCAGGCTCAAGACACTTGGGACTGATATGTTGTTGTAGGCTTTTTCCTTGAGGAATACAGTATGATGCTCATATAGCAGTAACCAAAAGTGGATATCATGTACTTAGCTCAGAGACTGACATCTACATATCTGATTAGGTGAGACAAGATCCCACGTAGGAAAACGAGAAAGGGAAGGATAAAGAAATTCTTTATGGTATTTCCTTTCTTCCATTCGGTTTGGGGTAGCTGGTCACTCGGTGGTCCTGCATTATGTCCAGCCTATTGAATCATTGTTATTAATCTTCCTGTAGCTTCTTTGACTGCTGCACTGCTCATGGTCATTGTTCCACTGACGCATTTCTCAGGCATATTTTCTCTATCTGCTATCTTTTTATGAAATCTGTGAGCCACAACCCAACCACCTTTGGCCTTGCCAGACACCCCAGGAGCTTCAATGCATTCTTCTCCAGAAATCCAGCTTTGCACTTTCATGTTTAACCCTCAGGAAGTCCTACAGGTTGCTGGAATTACAGACTTTGCACAGGATTCTAAGAAATCTTTCTATCTACTTGCAAAAGCTAAAAATATAAAATAATAATCTCTGTATGACTTTCTCAGCTTCTGAAGAATTCTTTGAGCTTGTAGGCAATTGCTTGGAATTGTATATGAGCCCATCTCCTACCTATGGCTTCTCTTTAGAAATAGTAGAACTTTCTTGCTCCTAACCTAGTCATTTCTGTCTTGGCTAGTCTTAATGCAAAAATGTTTTTCCCTGAAGCTTCCTGCTAAGCTCCAAGTCTCTCTGATTCTGTCCATTTCTATAGTTTTCTAGAAGAACATAACCTCTTTAGTGTCCTTTATCTGCCCCAGGAAACTTCCTATCCACCACATTTTAACACCTCACAAAAACATTTAAAAAAAAAAAAGTTTTCTTCACTCATAGCCAGCTCCGTATCTACTGTCACTGCATGATCAGTTTCATAGCATGGATTGGGCTCACCAGGGGTACATGGACACATTCTTCCAATTGGCAAAAAGTAGCCATGGAGTTAACTTCCAGGCACTTTTTAAGTATCTTACCAGAGTTTAAGAGACACTTGCCCCTGCTTCACATTCCGTGAATAATTTTCTGCCACTGGTATTTTGCGAAGCATACTAACACATTTACAAAGTCCTAAGTGATGAAAAACAAGTGAGTTGTCATGACAGTGTTTCCATTAAGCTTCACCTGTAACTAGGTGACAGCTCAGAAGACAGTAAAAAGATATGTGACGAAATTCAGAAATATGACTTTTTAATGTTTTTCAGAGACATTCTCCAAACCTTAATGGCTTGACCTTTAAGTGACTTCGTTGAATACTAATTCACCCACAGGCCAAGGTACTAGTTGCTTACTGTGGATAAATTGGCACTAATTAAGTATTCATGCATTCTCTGGGATTATTACTGTCTTTCCCATTTCGCAGGTGAGAAAACTGCAAGTAATTTGCCCAAAGTCATACATTTAGTTGATAAAAATGTTACAATTAGTGTTCAGGAGCTTTTGGCTCTGTCTTGTGCTGACCTGATTAAAACCTGGTAGCTTTTCTAATGTAGAAAGAAAGCCATAACTACCCATTCATTAAATACATCTCTTTTTTACTTTAAATAAAAATTATTACTGATCTACTATTCAGGGAAAAAAATGACAGTTTCTGATACCTAAGGGCCTACTGTTCTAATTATTTTCTACTGTTTTTTTGGGATGCTTGAAAAAAGCATTTTTGTGTAGAAGGAACTCTTTACTCAATTGCATGGCAAAAAAGATTCAAGAATGTAAAGCCCTTCTGTATTAACTACTTTACATCTTCATTGGAGTCTTAGTTCTCAGCAGTGTTGAAATGTTTGGTTATGGAGGAGAGGTTTTTTAGTTGTTTGTTTGACTGACGTATCCAACCACAAATATGGTTGCAGCTTCATAGTATGACTTCAGATACAGTGTGACAGAGCTGCATTTCCTCTCAGGGAAAACACAAGCTTCCTGAAGTTGCTCATAGGGCTTTTAAAAACTCTGTTATTAATGAAATAACAACCACCTGCTCAATAAGGTGGTATTTATGTCTGGAAACAGTAGTTTAACGTGATGGTACATTAGAATACCTAAAAGACAATGATACGGAACAAGAACCAAATCTGAACTGAGGACCCTTTGCTGCAGAGTATGGCTAGACCTGAACGTAGACCAACAGCGAAATACACCACTAAAATTGTTGTGGCTCCTGACAAAGCTGACGCTCCCAATAGTGTCACGTGCATTATCTCAGAAGGCATTTTGAAAATGTTTGCCCACTGTAGAAGACAGTGTAATCATTCTTGAAATTCTACATAGCACAAAAATAACCGCCATATCTTTAAAACACATTGTGACACACGTTTGGTGGTGTTCTGTCAGTACGTGTTCTGGCAAGAGGTACATTGCAGTGGTGGGGTCTGCACCTGCCGGCAACAAGGTGTTCGCCTAAGTGCCATCTTACAAGAAAATGGAATACATAGTTTAGTAATATGGCACCACTTTGGATTAAGTATGAAAGAACTTGTAAAGACAAGGTGAAGGTATAAAAAGTACAGCAGCTGTTGCCTTATAGTTCAAATGATTAATTTATGTCATGGTTCCTCTGATACAGGGTTTTTCCTTGTAAAAAAGCTCAGCGGTTTTACATCTCCCCTTACAAACTGAAGGGCATCTATGCCCATTTTGTCTTTACAAAGTAAGTGATGTCCAGAACCTTTTTCCTACACTAAAAAAAAAAAATTGCTTTCCCTCAGAAAAAAATATCTCCACATTTGCAAATTCAGTAATCTTCAGCCTTTTTTCTCTGATCAGCCATCCAACTTTACTGAAGAAGTCTTAGTTGAAGTTTGAGTGATCTTTTATAACCCCTTCCCCTCACGCTTTGTCCAGACTGCTAGCTTCACTGCAGAGAATACATGTGAAGGTTTAAAAATAGTTTGCCAGTCATTGTTCTGATTGCATTGTGCTGTCTGATGGTGGTCCATGGAGCATACATTGAGAAACAATTGTCTAGACTTACTATTTGTCATAGAACAGCAGTGCTTCTTGATATCAGGGTAGCAATTTCCCAGACAAAAAGCTAATGTTTCTGGCTACAGGTCAATCCTGCTTTTCTAAATGACAAGTTAATGAGGGATTTGTTCTGGAATTTACAGTATGAGGCTATTAAATACACTGGCAGTAGTTTAGGAATATGTAAAGTATAACATTGGCTCAGACCAAAGATCTATTTAGAATTTTCTTTTCTCAACAGCCTCATTTCATAGAATCATAGGGAATCATAGAATACCAGGCTGGAAGGAACCTCATGGATCATCTGGTCCCACCTCTCCTCCTTTGCAGCATTGTAAGCGGCCAATGCCCACCTAAGTGTGCTAAACAAGATTTGCCAAATTTTGCTTATTTACTGGTAGATAGTGAGCAGTTTTGGCATGTAAAATAAATGGTATTTGTCTGGGGTTTTGTCAGTGTGATTCATCTTCAAACTAAATCTTTTCTTTGTGCTTGCTCATTAGTATTGAACATAATGATAATTTAGCAAGATATTCTTTAACTTGGCTGTTGCTTTCTGTGTGTTATTTGAGGTTGCAAGTCCCATGTATCTAACAAGCTTTTGAAAAAGGAGACTTTTGAAAGCAATTAATCAAAATATTGAGATTAATATTTTAGCAAGATATAAAAGATTAAGGGGTTGTTATGGATGGAGGTAAAATTTTCAAAAGCACTTAAGTGACTTAAGAGCTTGCAGTATACTTTAAAAATCGCTAATGAATGACCTGCATCTAAACTAATGAACCTAGAAGCACTTGATAGTAACTGGATCTGGGCGCATGCACAGACTATCAATCTGTCTGTTGGGACTGAATACCAATCTAATATCAGATATAGGCCTGAGGTACAAGCTTCTTTTTTCCTTACCCACTTCTTCTCAACCTTGGGTTTTCTGTGGGAAGGAAATCCAGGTGCACAAGCTGGATGGAGGTGCTGCTGTTTCCCAGGGTATGCAACAAAGCGATCTGGATACAGCCAAAGTGGTAAAGTTTGGTTCCCCCAAAGAGTCCAGAAATAGTTTGAAAGAACTGGGCTCAAATGTTTAAATCATCTTAGGAAAAGGAAGGCATGTAGTCTATAGGTCACGTGAGCAATTTAGAAAAATGGTGCAGCAAGGACACCCAGAATTAGAAGACTGAGTAAATTCAAATAAAATAAAGGATTTTGAACAGAATAGAAGCCATTGTGCTTCAGGGTATGAGTCTGCTTGTAAGAAAGAAACATCAGGGAATGTTTTGCTTAGGAGCAGATTATCATATTTTGTGTATTGTATTTTCCTCTGGAGCAGATGTTATCAACAATTCTTTGAGACAAACTGATAAACTGGATGGACTAATATTGCAATTCTCTATGGCCATTCCTATTTCCCTGCACAGCATAAGCAATCATTCCATAAAGTTCAAGAGTAAAAAAAAAAAGGGTCAATGTTTTTGATATGTTGAACACAGAATAGATTATTAGCAGTTGTACCAGATGGCTCTTGCATATGCGGATATTTGTGCAAAGCTTGGAGGACATAAATTAAGGCTGAGAGATGAAGATGCTAAAAATGTCTGTCCAAATGGCCTTACTGAGCAGGCCATGAATTCTCATCAGCTTAACATCAGATTGCAAAGCAGAAGGAAAATCACTGATTTTTCACTCTGGAATGAGAATAAGTGCTGGAGATTGAAAATATTCTGTGTAAAAGACAAATCGATGATACACTGTACTGATGCCTCCCCTGTGGTAATGAAAATTTCCTACCCACAGCCACGTGTCAAGGAGAACAGGGTAACAGGTACCTACCTTCACTGCTATTTGTAGCAGAAGCCTTTTCTTTCAAAAAATGCCAGCTGGATAATAATTAACATGTTTCACAGGGAAATGTTGCTTGAGATAAAAATCACAGAGAAACTGGACAGGTTATTCGGGTTGGCAGCTGTGGAGCTCAGCTTTCCAGCTCAGCTGATGGAGTGCCAGAAGCCCCTGACTCTCAAAGGGTCTGCAGCATCCAGTCATAGGGTAACCACCACAGGGATGTTTGAGAAGCAACAGCTGCTAATGCTTTAGGTTTCCTCAATTTAAAAATTAAGATTTTTTAAAACAAAATTAGGGTAAAACTTAAGGCAAGATTAGGAAATGAAGCATACATAAATCTCCTACATTTTGTTTTAGGGACACTCACTTCCAGAAGAAAAATTTCCTGCATTTTTTGCAGCCACTTATGCGTGGCCTGACTGGATTCATGATCCTCTGGATCAACGAAACTGCGGAGCATCCTGGGCTTTTTCAACTGCAAGTAATACTAATTTTTTTTTCTCCTTTTAAAAATATCATTATATATTAGATGTGTGATGAAAATTTGTGGTGAGTAGTAATGAAGTAATTTCCGCTTGCTGTTCACTTTTTATCAGCAAATAGGAACATTTAAAATTGCTACAGCTTTCCCTCTAAGTTGTCCCAAAGACTTAAAAAGTCAATCTAAACTGAAGAGCTTTTTTGTTTTTCATAAGTTTGTGTAACATAGGTGACAGAAAGTAGAGAATGAATTGCCTAAAACACTTAATCATAACTGAGAGAGTAGCCTTCATCTGCATCCCTTACTTGCACAACTACATGCTTGACTTGAAAGCTTAAACCGGGTAGGCTTTATTTTTTTAATATATATTTATACATTTGTGCATTTGCCATTGTCCAATCCTTCCTATTCAGGTAAATTAAGTAAAATCTTTTCAATAATTTTATTGAAACTGCTCAGATATTTGTGGAAGAAACTATTTTTAAATTCTGTAAGCAAAGAAATACAGTAATGCAATTCAACCTCATGTGCTACAACCTCTGGTTTTATGAAAAATGGATGCAAGTGGTTTTGTCACTTTCTCCAAAGAAGCTACAGTGATCAGTTATGCTCATTTTTCTTATGCTGCGATAAGTCTTAGTACACATTGGGATATATAAAGATAGAGAAAAAAATTATGCCATCAATCTTTACGACTTGATCTGGCCAGTGGGTCCTCATGGGTGCAGGTTTCTGCAACTGCTTCTTTAAATCACAGCAGTAAGAGAAGGAAAGAAGCATTTAGGTCAGTTAATCCCAGCTCTCTGCCAAAAACAGACCAAACACACTCTGTTACTGTCATGGTTTTACCCCAGCTGGCAGCGGGGCACCACGCAGCCGCTCGTTCACCCCTCCCCATCGGGATGGGGGAGAGAATTGGAAGAGTTAAAGTGAGAAAACTCGTGGGTTGAGATAAAGACAGTTTAATAGGTAAAGCAAAAGCCGCACGCAAGCAAAGCAAAGCAAGGAATTCATTCACCACTTCCCATGGGCAGGCAGGTGTTCAGCCATCTCCAGGAAAGCAGGGCTCCGTCACGCGTAATGGTTACTTGGGAAGACAAACGCCATTGCTCCGAACGCCGCTGCCCCCCCCTCCTCTCTTCCCCCAAGCTCCTTATAAACTGAGCATGACGTCATATAGTATGGAATACCCCTTTGGTCAGTTTGGGTCACCTGTCCTGTCCGTGTCTCCTCCCAACTTCTTGTCCACCCCCAGCCATCCCGCTGGCAGGACAGTGCAAGAAGCAGAAAAGGCCTTGGCCTCGTGTAAACACTGCTCAACAATAAATCCATAGAACAAAAACATCTCTATATTATCAATGCTGTCTCCAGCACAAATTCAAAACATATCCCCACACTAGCTACCATGAAGAAAATCAATCCTCTCAACTGAAACCAGGACAGTTACCAACATGTCTTGTCCAGTGTAGTTTTAAAAGAGAAGACCAAGACATCTTCTGATAGGTCTCACTACAGATTACTGCAGAAATGAACAGAGCTCACTGAGGGAAAGACTTTCTGGATATTCAGTCTAAATTTTCCCTTTCATAAGCGAATCTTCTGATTTTAATTCACATAATTATTTTCAATGCTAAATACCATGAGATGCCTTCCCGTGTTGTCTGGGTGCATTAACATTTTCAATCCTCATTGTAAGATTAATTGTTGCTGAGTGAATAGGCAAGCACTGCTGTATCATTTCTTCTTATCATGAGTAATTCCTATAAATATTCCAAAACTCTTCAGTGAAAAGCTTTTACACCTATGAAAATAAATTCTTTATCATGTGACACCTCACAAAACCACAAAACACAATCATTGTCAACTGCCATCAACAGATTCACTCTTCTGAAGTCTTGCCCAAAGTTCACTGAAGTCAGTGGTGATTTTGATGGGACTTTAGATTTTGATGTTTTTTTATTATTATTTTATTTTCAGGCTCAAAGATAAAGTGCTTTAAAGATAAAAAAAAAAAAAAAATTAGGCACAGGTAATGACTGGGATTGAGACTTAATAATTGTTTCATTGTCACCCGTTAAAGAAAGGAGAAGGTGCTTAATTTTACCTACAACTTAGTTAACATAGTCTGGCTTTAAATCAGTGCATAAATATGTAAGAACTTAGAATTATGACTATCTGATTGAGTTCAGACATCTAATGAGTCTATCTCAGAAGAAGAATTTTGTGTGACAAGGGAAGGAGGTCCAATGAATCCCACATTTACATATTAATATCAGCAATTCCAAATATTCTTTCCAGTAAAACCAATACATACTTTCAGGTTTGAATTTTCTTTTTCATGGATCTGTTCTTTTTTGCTTTTCTTTTTTTCTCAAATAAAGGAAGGAAAGGTAGGGAAAAAATAAAAAAAAGACAAGACATATGGAGATTCAGCTGCAGATAAGTGGGAGAGTATTTGCATCTTCTGCTGAAGTCAACCAGAGATGAATATGCATTTACAAACATGGTAAAGACTACCAGACTAAATTCTATAAATGCCTCATCTGGTGTTTAGATATGTGGGATTTTATGATAACCAGTAAATCTATGGATTTAAAATATTACAGCAAAGTTGCTCATGGTGCTTTGCAGTTTCACAATCCTCTCTCTTGAAAGTCTGTACAGATTATACCTGTATTGTTTTGTGAAGATATCTGCACAGACAGAAAATACTGATGTTGTATTTTAGTCCCTCTTTCACAATAACTAGCATGAAGTTGTGAGTAATTATTTGGTTTTGATAACAGAAAATTTATTTCAAAACAGGTGTTGCAGCAGATAGAATAACTATTCATTCCAAGGGTCAGATCACAGACAACCTTTCTGTTCAGAATTTGATCTCTTGTGATACCAGGAATCAACATGGATGTAATGGTGGAAGTATTGATGGTGCTTGGAGATATCTGAAAACGCATGGGTAAATATTTTATCTATCTGTTTAGATTATTTTAACTTGAACCAGTTGATTAAGTTACAATGTTGCTTGTGTTATAATGAAGATTTCAGACCTTTCAAAAAAGAGGCGTTTAACTCTGTCCTAGGTCAGATTAACTGTATTACTTCATCAAGCCTATCACTATCTCCCATTCACACCTTCTTTAAATCACCTTCATGAAGCCCAGGAACTATGAAGCATTCCCAAAGAAATAAGTGAAGACTATTTTGAATGAGAGCTCTGAGAAAACTCTGCAGCCACCTAGCTCCCATTTAAGCCTCGTTACATCTAGATGTTGTCATTAGCTGTAATACAACTGGGGAAATGGTAGCCTCTCTAACAACAAAGAAGACAAACAATAAAAGATTTTTTTATGTTAAAGGCAATAACATAAGTGAACTCAAAACTACTATGGTTATTGGGATACAGGCTCTTCATGTTAAACAACCCTGAGGAAACAGCCAGTTGCACGAGACAATATTTTGAAGATTCAACAGGGTCAAACACTGTCTTTCCATATAGAAAATTGTAATGATCCCATCCCAAGACTGTGCCAGAATGCAACACAGTAGAAAGGACTATACCTGGATCCTTCTTCCTTCCAGTTGGACTACGCAAAGTTAACAGCTCTCAAACTCCACATGAACAGATAGAAGCTTTTTTAAAATGACATATAATAATTTATAGAATCACAGAATGATTTAGGTTAGAATGAACTTTTGGAGGTCACCTAGTCCAACACCCTGCTCAAAGCATGACTAACTCTGAAATTAGATCAGGCTGCTCAGGCCATGTCCCTGGTCATGTTTTGTGTATCTCCAAGGATGGAGGTTCCAGCTTTTCTTGCAGCAGGTCTCTGTTTGACAGCTCTTGTGGTCGAACATTTTTTTCTTATATCTAATCAGCATTTTCCTTGGTACAGCTTGTGACTGGTACCTTTCAGCTTTTCACTGTGCATCTCCAAGAAGAGTCTTGTTCTGTCTCCTCTATGACCTCTCCTTATGTAGTTGCAGACAGTAATTAAATCCCCTTTTAGCTTTCTCTTTGGTCTGAACAAATCCAGCTGCCTCAGCCCCTCCTTGGATACCACATGCTTCAGCCCCTTCAGTGTCTTCCACTGGACTTGCTCAGTTTGTCAGTGTCTTTACTGGGGATCCCATAACTGAATACAGTACTCCAGATGTAACCTCACAAGTGACAATTTGAGGAGAATAATCACTTTTTGCAATGTCTTGGCTATGCTCTTGCTAACACAACCCAGTAGTGATTGTCCACCTTTGCTGAGAGGGCCCACTGCTGACCTACGTTCAACTTTCTGCTTATCAGGACCCTGGGTTCTTCTCTGTGAACTGCATTCTGCACAGGCAGTGCCCTGCCAGTGCTACTGCATGGGCAATTCTGTCTCAGAGGCACGATTTGGCTTCTGCCTTTGTTGAACTTCCAGAGGTTTCTGTCAGCTCCAACACTGCTCTGAACGGCAGCCCTGCATACTAACCACTCCCCATCAATTTGGTATCCTCCAAAAATTTACTGAGGGTGCTTTATGTCGCACTGTCCAGATTGTTAACAGAGATGCAAAGCAGCGTTGCCACAGCAGTGTTGACTCCTGAGGAATGCTGCTAGTAAACAGACACCAGTCACTTTGATCCATCGACCTTTCAATGTGCCAGTCCAGTTCAGTTACCGACCTTGTAAGTAACTCATCCAGTCCAATATCTCTCCAATTGAGCTAGAAGAACACCGCAGGAGACGATGCTGCAAATGTTGCTAAAATCAAAGTAAATGATATCCACGGCTTTTCTTATTCTCCGTGGAGCCAGTCATTTCATCATAGTCAGCTCATTTCATCATTTCGTCTCATCATGGTGAGGCACAATTTGCCATGGCATATCTGTCTTGCCTATTCCCAGTCAACTCCTCGAACTTCATGTGCCTGGAAATGGCTTCCAGGAGGGTTTTCCATAACCAGATTTTATATACTGCATAATTAAATTTCACTGTTTCTCAATTTATCAAAATATTATTATACTTACAAAATCTATTTCCTCCCTCACTTTCATACACTCTCATCCCTTACTCTGTCTTTGATATACCTGATGCTGAGAGACAGAGAGACCTCAGGTGTGCTGTCTGACAACTTTTAATTTTAGTTAAAAAAATAAAAAAAACATGGAAAGAGCAAAAGAATGCCAGATGTGATGCATCAGATGTCATAGTTGTCATGGCAGCCTGGGGATCCAGGTAAACACCAAAGTGCTGTCATTCACATGGACACAGTATATAAATTGATCATTCTGCTTTCTTCAAGTGTACCAAACTGTTTCTGATCTGACAAGGATTTTGTAGTGTTGTGGGGAGAGTTTACACAGAGTGTTCCTTTGTCTTTCTGTCTCAGTACTTAAACACTAACCTGGTTTTGATCTGGGTTTTGAGTGGGAAACCCTTTAGGTGAGTGATTACAGTGGGCAATAAGGGATTCCATCTCAGCACCTCATGTGGGAAAAGACAAAGGCTTCATTCATGAAGAAATGAGTTACAGAATCATAGAATGGTTTGGGTTGGAAGGGACCTCAAAGATCATCTAGTTCTAACCCCCCTGCCATGGGCAGGGACACCCTCCACTAGACCACGTTGCCCAAAGACCCATCCAACCTGGCCTTGAACACTGTCAGGGATGGGCCATCCACAACGTCTCTGGGCAACCTGTTCCAGTGCCTCACCACCCTCACAGTAAAAAATTTCTTCCTTATCTCTAAGTAATAGCTTAACATTTTAAGCAACACTTTTCTGTAACTAGAAGAGCAGGCTCTGTTTAATCAGTAGCTCATCCTCTTAGAGTAAATACAACTCTTTCTCACTGGACTGTTTGCTTGCCTACCGTGTTAAGGATAGGAGTGCAAGAATTGCCGGTGTAGATAAGAGATCCATTTTAATGAACATTATCTCCACAACACTTGGAGCAAGCTATTTTTAGATGAAAAGACCTAAAGAACACAACAATAGGATAACCTCCTAGTCTTCTGTTCCCTCTGACTGTTGTCTCTGCATGGGCATAACCACCATGAGCCCATAAGATTCTTCCTATACCAGAAAGATGTAATTTTTTTTTACCTGAAGCAGTGTGGTTAGTGATGCAGACTGTTCTGCGGAGGCCATTTAAGTATATAAGAGTTAGCTTATTTCTGTAAGGAAAGCAAGGCCAGCTGAAGCTGCATGAGGCACTTCGTTATCAACCTAGCTGTACCTCCACAGGAGCTTGTGCTGGTTGGTGTAAACACAGTAGTGAGATGATTGCTCCCTGACTGACCACAAAGTACCACTGTGAAAGTGGTGTGCAGAACAGGCTTTCTGGCTGATGTAAGCCTGGAAGAATACAGACAGGGCACCTCAGCTCACCAGAGCACGCCTGTGAACTGTCCTTTTGCCTCCAAAGTCCTAAGTACTTGCATTTATTATTCAGTCATCTGAGACCAGCTCTTGCAGATGACTGAGTAAAGAATCTGCAGGGTAGTTGTGAGAACCATCACAAAATTTTTGAGACTATGTAGATCTCAAATAAATCTCTGTAGTCCCAGACCATTTTCTTAGTCATTCATCCTGCTTTCTTGTCTCCGTGGAGCCAGCTCCAACGTGTACAGCATCACTGCACTCTTATAGACCTTTGCCTGCTACCCATTCTTATCCCCAGTCATTGATTCACCAACAAAGTATCACACAGGAAAATATCTCTACTTACCTATTTTTATAAACAACGTTTCTAAATCCTGATTTTCTTTCCTCAAGTTCAAATGATATTTCAAATCCTCTTCCAACAGGTACAGCCACAAATAAACACCTTAAGGAAAATATCTAAACATCTGTGAGAACAGATTCTGGAAGAATACAAGAACGGCTATGCTGGGTCTGAGCAAGTCTCCATCTAGCCCAATATTTTGTCTCTGACAGTGGCCAACAGTAAATAGTGTCCAAAAAAACCCCCAAAACCAAAACAAAACCCCGACTTTTTTGATTCACTGGACTGATAATTGAATAATTTTTGTAGCTGAAACCCCATAATCCATAACCTTTTACCTTTCACAATGAAAGAAATGGAAATTTATGGCATAAAACTCTGAAATGTCTTTTGAATGAGCCCTGTTAAATACTGCTTGCTTCCTCACACTTTCAGGTGACTTTTATTTTATGACCCAGTATATTGCAATCATTTTTTTCATTATCTCCATACCCTGCAACAGGGAGAAAGCACATTGATTTTCTGTTTGGGCCTGCAAATTTTCACGGCAGGTGTCCAATGCTGTTTTACAGCTTTTGGTTTTCTGATTTCTGAATTATGCCTATCTCAGGTTTTTGATAGATTTTCAGGAAAATCAAGTGCAGGCCTAAACTATCTTCAGTGAAGCCAATGGAAGACTTCCATAAAGCTCAATGAAGTTAGGCCAGTGTTGAGACCTGAGTTTTCAGAATCACTGAGCACCCAATTAACAGTGAAATATGCTATAAGTGGAGCTGAATTGCTGTTTCACTCTCACTTTCTCTTTCTATCTTCCTCCATTAATTGAAGAATAAATCTGTATTCTATTTCTAATTATTATTAATTTTAGGCATTTCAGTTGCAAGCCATAATTTGGAAGGAATCAATGTGTTTTGAAAACATCTGTTATATCTGCTAAGGGAAATGAAAAGCTTATAGTCTTTAAGAACGAGGAAGAAAGATTCCATTTTCAGGTAGTAAAAAGACTACACACTTGAATTCAAATACTGTTTCTAATCAGGGCTTGATCTGATTCATATCTCGGGCTTTTAGCATTTGCAGGGTATGATAAGGATATTATTGTTATTAGTTTTGGCCAACTTACTCATAACATAATCTAATGTTTTAGATTATGTTCTCATCTCACAATTCCAACATATAAATACAATAAAACCACAAAAATTTCATTAGGTTGAACACATAAACATGACTTCGGATTAATTCTACCAAGAATGTATGAACACGCTGCAGACTTTTGCTGCTTCTCTTTGGATGTTGCTTGCTCCTAGTAGTATTTATGTAGATGTGTATGTATATGTGCACATAAACACATTCACATGAATTCAATGACCCTTCTGGCAAGGTCTTCTCCTTGAAATGTTTTTATTGTTTACTGTTGTGCTAATGCATCAGCAAAGCACACAAACTCATGTTTCAGCAGAAAGCTCTTAAATTATGTTAATCAATCATGACTGCAGAAACTACGGTTAGTGAAATAATTCAAAAGTGACAGTTCAGAATGAGTTGTCATGTCTGGCTTACACACAGCTCCAGTGTGCCAGTGTGTCATTTGGTGCTTCACTTCTATTGTCATAGAAGTAAGACCCATACATGCAGAACCGGTGACAATTCCAGTGGGACAATCCAACTGAAAGGAGGGGGAAAAAGTCCCTATATCAGGAATAAATTTCTCCTCTGTTGCCTCCCTCTGAAGTGTTTCTAAGTGCACCTGGGGTATAGATGTCATACCACTCCTTACACTGGATTGCAAACACCGGCTCCTGCCCTGCTGATGGCAGATTGTGCTCTGAGGTCTGTATTTGCTCACCTTACCTGCCTTGCAGGGCTGATGGCACTCAGCAACAGTCCTTTATTTCTTTTGGAATTCTGTCACCAGTGGTGACTAAAATGATTATATATAGAGACATAGATACATTTTTAAAAAATTATGTATGTATACATATATATATATATAAAAAAGTTTTCCTTCTACCCAGCAATAGAAACAAAGCATAATAAATTCTAAAATGAGTAATAGCAACCCATGTATATTTGGCCTAAATACTTACCATTCCCCATTGGAAATCCAGAATACCTTCAAACACTCAGAAGGGATTAAAAGGGGTTGCCAGTGAGTAGATCGAAGGCCTAACCAATACCAGCCTAGCAACCTAACAACTTGAGATGGACACTCCCTTTTCATGTAGGCAGAATCATCACTTTTTGCAGCTCCTGGGTGTGTTGGTCTACTTTGGGTAGAAAGAATTTGTTAAACAAAATGACATTCTCCTCAGGGTCAATTTTTCTACCACCAAAGGCTAACAGGAAAATGCCATGTCTTATCCAAAGTGGCTGAAGCATATACGTGCTCATCTTGTAAAAATCCTGACAACTAAATATACACATGCAAACATAATTATCCTCCATATTACATAGAAATACGGTTTTCAGTTCTTCCGATTCAGAAAGTTCAGTGTAATTGGCAAACTACTTAAATACATATCCTTTTTATAGGACTGCTTATTTTAAAATATTCTGCTTCAGTGAACTATTTAATTATGCTCTTTAAAAGAACCTCTATGATAGGCCTCCATGGCATTATCACAGAAATATGTATAGTGTTTTGGAAACATCTCGCAGTATGATGCAGAAAACTAGAAGGTCCCATTATCTCCTTAAAAGGATGAAATAATAAGTGGAACATTCAGAGTTCCTTTATTTGAGTATTTCACATTGTAAATGCATTTTAAATATATGCTTTGTTTTCTTCACTTTATTGAAGCAAAAAGGGTGTTCGGTTAGTTAAACAGTCAAAGCTGAACAGTTCAGGATAAGCTACTTGAAAGAAACAAACTTACTGTATGAAGCAGCAGATCATTTGATGTATTGCCAAGGTAAAGAATTAAACTCCTTCCTTACCTTTCCTTGAAACTACTTATTTTCATCACCCTTCTCCATTGGATGAAATGAGGGCTCTTAACCTGTGCTTCAAAGCTCCTTTGATTTAGCACTTTGGAGATTTTCAAATCCAAAATTAGCATGTGTTTACGTCTCAGGTGACTTATCGCAGCTCTTCTACAATCACTCCACTGACAACATCAGTGTTAAATGCCTTCAAGTCTTTGAAGCCTGCAACTAGAAAATTGTCAGAGATGAAATTTTATTTGTTATTCAAAGATTTGTCTTTGTTTTACTGAAAACAATAAATACAATTCACACGTTGTTGCACATTTCCCCCCCGATTCTTGTCATACACGGATTTTTATGGTTTTGAAATCTTTCTTAGAATAAAAACTGCACAGTGACTACTGGACTTAATATTTTGAAATTATAATCTGTGTAGAACATAGAATTTAATTTAAAAGTGTTAAAAATTAATCATATTTCCTGTAGATAAAGTATAAAACCTTGACATTGAATGCTTTCATGCAAATTATAATGAGTGGTAGGAAAAAATTAATTGGTCTATGTGTGAGCAAAAATTCTCTTAGCATTCAGAAAATGTTTTGAGGTAGATGTTTTCCTAAGAAATAGTCAGAATTTTTTTAGGAGCTGTAGACACCAGACACATACCCTGTGATGTCATGGCACAATCTGCCATTTTAGTTTCCTTGGGATGCTCATTGCTGTCAGTAACGAGGAACTGCCTCAGCATCCTGTTGCTGGGAAGCTGGCACTCTGAGTTCAGCCTCAGACAGATACTCTGTCTCTGAGTTTAACCCCGTCAAGAGCAATGTGATGGGAAAATGAAGACAGCAGATAAAGCAATTACCCATAATCATGTCAACTTTGTAAGCATAAAAGCCTGAATATTACCGCAAAATAGCAAAATTATAAAATTGCAGTAAGTCCCACCTCTCTGATCCTTACCCAATTTCACCTTTTCTGTCATGCACTTCATCAGTGCTTCGGCTTGGGCAAAGTCTCTCCTGCCAGCATCACTCCAGAGGATTCATTTTTTTCCCCTTGTGAATCAAGATGGATGAACCCAGTCACCAGCCTCTGTCCAAATGCTTTTCCTAGTACTGCTTTACATTTGGATTGTTCATTAACTTACCAAAAGCTCAGTGCTTAACATCTTCCAAAGCTGTGTACTCACTTGTACTTATCTCCTAGGTATTTCAAGTAGTAGGGGTTCAGTTCTCTTTTACAGAGGTATATTCCCCCCAGAACTTTGTTGTTAATATCAATTAAGCTATTGGTATTAATCACTGAGGTTTATACCTCTTTTGGGAAGAGTGACCATATTTACTCATATGCCAACAAGAGACCAATTATTTTTATCCAAATCTTTAAAAGATGAATATAAAAATTTTTTTATTTCGGCAAATATTCACAAAAATGTGAGAAAATGTTCTCTTTATTTTATCAGAAAAATAGATCAGAGACTTTTTTGCTAAAAGAAATAAAAAGGCCTGTAGCTTTTCACCAGCGTTCCTGTAGAAAATGTAAATAAAAGTAGAAAATGGTTCATTTCCCTTAAAAATTTTCTGCTGAAAATATGCCCATTTCACAACTACTGTTGCTAAATAGATCCTGTTTAAAATATTGGTAATTTATTGATCTTATTCAGTGTGAACTTTTGTGCATCATTAATGAGATGAATGTACTGGGTGACAAGTGCTGAAACACATTTTCCAGCAGTCCAGAGGACTACTGCATCTGAAACTTAATCACCAACATCATGCATATGAGTTGAAGCAAACGCCTTCCAGCTGAAGACATGAGACATCCACACTTTGGAAGAACGAGGGACTCTGTGAATTTACTTGAAATATGACAGTTGTAAAATAGTTAAAAACTTGAAATAAAACTGCAAAAATATTTAAGGAAGCTTCTTATCAGCTTGCTTTTTTTTTTTTTTTTTTTTTTTTTCAAATCTGAACAGGGTTGTATCCTATGCTTGTTATCCATCATTTTGGAATGATCACCTGGGGCCATCAGATGAAAATCACTGTTATGTGTCAAGTGAATATGGAAAAAACTATACAAATGGGCCATGTCCCAATGCTTTAGAAGAATCCAATCGGTTATACAGGTGTGCTTCTCACTACAGAGTCTCCTCAAACGTAAGTTCATGCTGTTCACCCATTGTCTCACCCATTTTTCTCCTTTGGGGCTTGAAAATTATCTGGCATAGGGAAATATGTTCACTTTACTTGAAGACCAGAGCTATGAATTTCCCTTTTGTTTTCAGAAGAATTTAATTTATTTATAGTTTCTCAGTTTTACATCATCTCTTTAAAGGTGCTGCTTTGTGGTCCTACAGAAATTAGAGATAGAAAAGAAAGTATGTGGTCGTAACTGTGCTTCTTAAACATGTTTCTGATGGCTTTGTTCTGTTGGTAAACCAAATATTCTCTAGCAAAAATACAGGTACAATGATACATTTATAACATATGTATATGTTGTGTGTGTGTATATATATGTGTACATATATATATGTTGTGTGTGTGTATATATATGTATACATATATATATGTGCACATAATGATAAATTAGTATGAGCTTTAATTTTATTTAACAGAATGTATTGTCTATCTTCCCTTGCCCTCTGTGCTGCTGCTCCCACCTCCTCTCAGGAAACCGATATAATGAAAGAAATCATGGACAGAGGACCAGTGCAAGGTATGGTAAGTTTGGAATATGATATTCTTATTATTGAAATAATTAAAGTGTGCAATGTCCTTGTATCAAAATATTAGAAAACACAAATTGCATTCCACAGTGAATAAAACAGACATATGCACTGTAGGCCATCCAGGGATGTTTGGTGGGCAAGTAGCGTGCCTAAAGGCAGCTATGCTGCATCAGAGTCCATAATGAGTAAAATGACCTTGAGCTAGATTTGTTGGAAATTTGCACAAAATCTGTGTGCTGGAAATGTGCTTTTTTTTCCTACGACGGTTCTGTGCTCATTGATGAAATAGCAATTTGGGGCTGTGCAGGAGGAGTTAGATGTTAGCAAAGCTCTGCTCTCTAGGGCTGGGATGGATTCCCACACTGGCCGAGGCCAGCCCGCCGAGCCTGCTCGCCTCTGAAGGCAACGCTGCAGTCTATGGGCCCTCCAGCAAATCACTCAGTGCTGGAATACTCCCAGAATTTCCCCCTTCATAGCCCAAAGGCTCTTGGTGGTTGTGGAGGGCTATCAGTTTTGAATTTTTCTGCTGAAC